AATATTTATCTGGCATATTGAATAAATTTTGTTGGAATTCTCGTGTGGGCTTAAGAAGAAAATAAGGAATTGTTTTTTGGATCGTAAATTTTTGAAAATCTACTATAATTCTCTTTAATAATCACTTTTAGAGTGGTGGTATGATTGTGCAAATCAGTATCCATTATCATTGAGTGTACAAGCAAAACACTGAAAGTTGGAGTTGTATCCGCATTTCACCATATTGGCGGCGCGTGCTAACCATTGCACTATCGGCTCACGTTCTATAATCATTCGCTTTGCTATGTATTGAATATTATTTGGTAATTAAAGCAGTAGCACGAAGTTGCTAGAAACTAAATTTTTCGAGTAATGGTCAGTAGTTTTCCTCTCCTTCGGCTATTCATTTCAAAGTTGATTTTGAACGAACTGCGATCGATCGTGACATGGCTCTAAGCGCGCTTTCGATCAGTAAACGATAGCTGGAGATGTTTTTTTTCCTTGAAAATTTGAGAAAGCTCGCTTATTAATTGGGCTGCGTGGGCGGCTTTTGGTGTGTCATATATCACAAAGTCGAATTTCACTGTTTCAAATTCCTTCCTTCCCTAAATGCCCTCTTTGTGAGTAGGGCGCATTTATAAGAATGCTGTCTAATTTTTATCAGGCGCGATATCCTTTTCACAACGAATTGAGCCTTTAGAGAAAAAATCGTTGGCTTCCTAGTGAATGAAGCTTTCGCTGATTGGTCTGTAGTATCAATCTAAAAAGTTATAGTCTTCATAGACTTGTCAATGTTTTTTTTCTAAGATCGAAATGCGGCATTCGAAGAAACGAAGCAGTTCGCGTTACAGTCTCTGGCCAGTGTCGCATACCAAATAATTACACTTGTAAGGTTGGTACTTTTTCAAGTATTTGCTTCAGCAGTTTATTTTTGATACAATGCGATATTGTGGTCTAACAATGCTCCAATTGAAGTGTGGTTCGATCGTTACATTTTTTTCTCGTTGAGATGATATGAGCTTGTCAACTTTTTTTGGTTGTTTGCAGCAAAATAAAAAAAATTGTAAAGGCTAACAATTTGGTGCTTTCACTCAAAGCCTGGAAAAAGCAAAATGACCCGCAATTCACTCAGTCAAACACTGTATAACCGAGACATTTTTTTGTAGTGATTTTCTCTGAAATAACATCGTAATAGCTGTGCTTGGGCCGTGTTAACTGGGTAAGAATTAGGCCACAACTGTAATGATTGATTGTTTTCTAAAAAATATACTTATTATAATATTTCTCAAGTCAACTAAAAAGAGGCACTGAGTAAACGAACATAATTATCGTCTCTAGAGCAAATCACCAGAAACGTCATTCTAGGATTTTTTCGTCCAAGTAGGTACTAAACTAATGTGTTTGAACCGTTAAATCAGAGAATTATAGTCTTGTCGATAGATGGTTTTAGCACGTTGTTTTAAATTTGTCAGGGTGTTCGAAACACTTAACCTAAACTGCTTTCTTGATCTTAGCTTCCATCTTTGATCACATAGAAAATTGTGTCGACTATCTTCATTTTTATCCAAATTTGAGAGTGGAACATCAGAACTAACATTTCAGACACAATTATACCTTTATTTCGAGGGCTTTGTTTAGATCATGCTCAAATTTCAATATATCCATTCATCATTATTTGAACCAACTTGTCATGACAAAAAACTCTTCTATGCGCTGAAAAGTTTAAAACAAGACTATGTCTCTCATGCGCATATTTCTCACCGCTCAGAGCTCTTTCTCTAGACTCGCATTGATCATACGATAGCGTAAGTTTTAGTAATTCCAACACTGCTAATTTTCTAGTTAGTTCGTTTCTGTACAGAATAGCAGGTTGACTGAGATTAAATTAGCGTGCTCGAGCAGGTGCTCATTGGCCAATTCACCGTCGCTGGGTGAGACGACAATGGGTTGCAATGGAGACTTCGAATTTATCGATCGATTCCCGACCGATCTTATGCTAGTATGATGTTAGTTATTCAATTAGAAATTTTTTTTTGCGCTTGAAGAGAAATTACGCATAAAGTGTATGACTCTGCTACAAAAAGACTTCAAATACTTCCATTTTACCATGAATACGGATATGTCAAACGTCTCTGTTGTAACTTTGATGGTATTCAGGAGGTCAGAATGGCCCAACTGCTTCCAACAATCACTTGAAGGTATTCACGTATTGCAATGTTATTTCTACACGTTCATATGATCAGAAATTCAGTATCCCACCTTGCTGCCCCACTCAGCGGTCCGTGAATTGGCCAAAGACCACCTAGTCGCCATATGAACCGATCTCAATTTCCTTGCTGCGTTGCAGGAGAACAGTCTTCTCAGGATGTAAGCACAGCATTGAAATTGGGTAATTTTGCACTCAAGAAAACCTCTGTCCGTTGAGAAACATGCGCATGTAAGACATCATCTTGTTTAGAAGTTTTCAGCGTTATAAACGGGTCTTTTAAGACACCGGCTATGTGGACGATGGTTCGAGAATCAAACTTTCGAATGATTACAAACACTCTTTATGAAAACTTCTTGTCAAGCGTAGAGGATAGGCTTGAAAACCTATGCTAACAAACGGAAATGAAAGCTTTTTTACACCATATGACAATGGCACTTGTGTTGCATAGTACTGCTGTGTTATGGTCTTTATTATTTTAATATTTAAAGACCTTTTGGACATGTTGGATCTGTAAAAGGATGAAATTTCAAATCTCACTGCTCAAGTGGAGAATATCGATGTGGTACAAGTCATGTATAATCACTCAAAACTTGTATTGTTCTTGTTTGATATGCCTAAGGACGCCAGCAGGATGTAAAAAGACTTGTAGTAGTTCCCCATACCGACTAATATCAGCCTCGACATCGCTCAGTAGTTAAGAGTCCTGTTTACTTGACAAGCCAATACAGAGCTTGTAATTATACAATTCATCTTAGCAGCTGATGCTTCGATGGCTTCGTCATTTTCACAACCTGGAAAAATCAGGTGTGTATAACTCAGTGTTACTTATAATAGCTCATGTTTTGGCTTACTCAGGAAAAAAGTACAAAGCATCAGTCCTCTTTAGTTGTCGTCAACTGCTATGGAGGCACTAACCTGAAATTTGGGAGTCTCAACTGCCTGTGATGCAATAATACCTTGTCGTCCTTATTATACACGTTTTCGTTTCATTTCGCCAATACCTTGATTGCCGTTACTCCATGACTGTCACTATTGCTATTGCTCTCAAACTCACCGTTCTCCTTTGTACGATCTGTCGTCTCCTAATTTATAGGACATGCCTTCTTTTGCACTATTTCAATCTGCTGGCAGTATTAGATTGCTCTGAAAGATCTAATCTCATGATTGATTCCTGACACTCCATTTTATAACTCCTCGACCTTGATCTACATAGTGATGAGTGCACAAATATGCAAATACATACTCATAAAACGGATGTTAGTAATACCTGTTTGTTTTTTTCGTTCAGATAGTTAGTATTCGTAGGGAAAACTTGCTCAGTGGGGAGATTGGAGCATTTGCAACAAATAAGTCTATTCAGAAGCAAACAAAGATTTTACGTCAGCAATTCATTTGAGAAATTGGCCTCTGAGACGTTTGCAGTGTTACGCATTGCCTTCGATGCACAAATGGGGGGGCATAACCTGTGTCTACATTATTGCAGTGGACTCCTTTCACGGTTTTTGTTTACAATAGAAAAACATTTGTCTTTGGAAGAATCAGCTGAAGTGATCAGTCCGGTATGTCATCATTAAGGCTATTTATTGCCGATGAAGACACGTTACTGCAGTGTGACTGCTTCGGAACTTGATTTATTTCACGTGATTTGTAGTTTGTCTGGAGTAAGAATTTGCTGGCATGTTCTTAGTAGCAATCAGCGTCTCTATTTTTTTGGCACTGAACTGCGAAGTTGGCTAAAGTGCTTTCAATTCTTGAATTAGCGATTTGTACTTATTCTCATAATGGATGCTCCATGTCTTGAACAAACACATTTGACTGAGTTCATTGAAGATTTGTCTGTGTAGTTATTTATCCATTAATGCTAAGCGATTGGCAAACTTTGAACTTCGGGCCAGAGTTGAGAGGTCATTTCATCATTTCCAAGGGTGCTTGTCAACCACTACACTAGTAGTGTTCCTGTTTTGTATCAGTCGTATTATGATAATAGTCTGCATTGTTGGATTATAAGGTAAGAAAAGTATATCACTTACTCAGTGAATAGACAGTGCTCCGCTATCTGGTCGATTGTGTCTTGAGAACTTGCGCTTGTATTTAAATTTGCTGAGGACTCATTAGGTGTTCTTTTTGGCGTTGTCACCTTTTCGCCTCTTGCGAAATGCCATGTTTGAGGAGTCCTATGTTTTTATTGCTCACTTGAACCAAATATATCGGATCTCTGGGGCAATTTATGAGCAATCGATCAACGAGACGCTCACATACCATTTGTCAGTATACAGATGTAGTGTAACTTAGGACCACTTGCCAGGTAAAAAATCTTGAAGCTGAAAATGAATCATGAAGTGACTAGCTGAAATTTTTTATCGGAATATTCACTTCGTAAGCTTTACAGTTGAGATCCAGTTTACCGAAAAGACGCGTCGATTTCACTTTCTGTTAGCAATATCGCAATGAATTGAATATCTACAGAGAAAGGAGGTAGCGCAATGGCCAGTGCCGCAATGTTCCGGAAACAAGGTGATTAAGCGCCAGGTTCGATGCCCTACCCTCAACACTCACAACCAATCAACGAACGTCTTAGCTCGTCTTTTTCCAATATAGCGAGGAGAATCGTCTCGAGCAGCATTCTGCAGCCATTCATAAAGAAGGCGAAATCTTTGAGCAGTAGTAACCGAAGCAACACTCAAAATGTTCGAAAACCCTTGTGTAGGGTGAATGTTCAGAAACTGTTCGAATAGAAGAACTGCTAGGATCCGCCCAGTAAATTGCTATAATAGGTCGTGCAGAGAAAAAAAAAGAAGTACTGGACTACCACGGTCTTGTGGCCTAATGAATAAGGCGTCGGACTTCGCATCCGAAGATTGCAGGTTTGCATCCTGTCAGGGTCGAGACTTTTGCTGCTTATAGTTTAGGCAATCACAGTTTTTACTATAGTATGCAAGACACTGATTCGATCCCCTCTTTCAGCTCTCTCTTGCACTTAATAAAGCGAACGTTAAGGAGTTTTGGTTCGAGATTCGATGCTTTGTCCATTAGGCCTAAAAGGCTATCCAGTATTTCGACTGGAGTAAGGAAAAGCACTGTTATACCACGGAAATCTGATTGAGGAAAACACTTCTAAGTCAGTTCATGTACGAAAACTTAGCTGTTTGGCTGGCGCGAGATTGGTAGACGACGCTGGTATCGTCGTTGTTATTATTGATTGTAGATCGCTGTACGAATAGTTAGTTGACGTTTCGGCCTTCTTCAGAGCTTGAACGTGCACTGTCATCATTGTTTGTTTGAGTTGGTAGTCAGATCGATGCCTAAGCACCGTCCCATTGATCAAGTAATATTCAACGCATGTAAGGTGCAAAGTCTCGCGTTGCAGTGACGCATTCATCTAACCGATCATTCTAGGTTTTTAACTTTTTCCAAAATTCTTCGAGAGTTTCGTGCGTTGATATTTTTGACTCCTTGCACTTTACTGAGATCGCTTATATGCAGCCTTTTATATCAAAAGAAGTTTGCTACTCTACTAAGAGGTGCCTAAAAAGAAAGGGTCTCGAAAATTCAGCAACAAGAGTTGAACTCTCATCCCGAAGTGTGCGCCGTCAACTGCTTTGCAACCGCCTTTATGATCGACTGTGTAACTCAGAAGACTGTAAAATGTGCCCCAACGGGAAGGAGGGGGATTGTATGAGTTCCGGCACAATATATTCAATAATATGTAAAGCATCCGGGGAATATATCGGCGAAACGAGTAGACCAATTCATCTGCGCATAAAAGAGCATCTAGATGGGAAAGCTGATACCGATAGAAGCAAAACTCTAGGCTTACATAGGGCGTAGAAGCACAAAAATATTGATTTCGATGTAACTATCACGACGCTGGCGCGGGAATCAAAAACATCAACGCGCAAAACTCTCGAAACGTTTCGGTGGACGCTAAAAACCCAAAAATGAACCGTAAAGACGAATGCGTCACTGTAACACGAGACTTGGTACCTCACATGCGCTGAATATTCCTTGATCCATGGGACGGTGCTCAGGCATCGATTTGGCTACCAACTCAAATAAATGGTGATGCCAGTGTACGTCCACGCTCCGAAGAAGGCGGTGTCGCCGAAACGTCAGCCATCTATACGCACAGCAATCTACTAACAACAATCAACAACGGTAACATCGGCGTCGTCTACCAACCTCGCGCCAGCTAAACAGCTAAGTTTCCCTTCTTCTATTAATAATTAACTTTGCTAACTACGATAATAGGAAGTCGATCGCTCGGAGTTTCAAATCAAAGTGGTAAAAGGCGGCTAAACCATCAGTAGGGTCTTCGAAAAAGTTTAGCTTTCCATATCCACTACTCTGACTCTCTGAATCAAAAACAGCAAAAGTTTCGACCCTGGCAGGACTCGAACCTGCAATCTTCGGATCCGAAGTCCGACGCCTTATCCATTAGGCCACAGGGCCACACTTGACGTCGTCCTAGTGTTTTTTCTATAGTCTACCCGTCAACGCAGTTTAATGCGCGGATCTCAGCACTTAGATGGATACGTTTCCTCGCATTCGTCCTGCACGAAGGTCTTCGAATATCTGATGGGTTGCTTTGGCTGCTGCTCGAGGATTTCATCTACTGTACGAATTCCAAAGAATCATGGTCAGAACAAATCTCATTGCTATCTTGGAGGTGGCGAGCTACGGCGTTCCCTAGAGCGTTTATTAACTGGTTGTAAAAAAACGTTCTTGGTGAAGTGTCGAACTACAACCCTAATTCAAGGAACACCGCACCACTAATCACTGCGCTACACCTCCCATCCTCGGCGTGGTGCACGCAGTAAGGAATGAGGTATACGAAAGAACCTTGCTATAAGCTGGTTGTGAAGACCTCAAATGAAGCTGTACTTGCAGCCTGTGTAGTTGCGGACAAGGCGTGCCGTTTTTGAAAGCCGCTTCATCTCCAATGATTTTTCGTTTACTTTTATTTTACTTTGTTTATTTTTGGTTTAGTAAATTTTTAGTTTATTTATTTATTTGCTTTCTCCCAGCAGATTTTATGTGAAGTCTTTTACCAGAGAAAGTGTGTTTTGTTCTCGCACAGAAAAGACCGTTTTTTTCGTCGTCGCTATTTGCGCATTGTTTCATCTCTTTGTTCTTTTCTCATCAACGACGTCATCGTCTCACTGCCATAGGTGGTTATTTGCTGTGTCTATCAACTGACATGGGCCGTGTTTTGAAGGATTCGGGACTAACAGGCAGAGAATAGTATCGCTTTATGCGACGCCACAGTCACTGGTCCGTCGATGTGGACACGGAGCCCGATAGTGGACATCCAACGCCGAGAGACGACGTGCACATCACAGTCAGTAATTCCGCTCCATTTCAGTGTTCATTTCATTTTTCTAGTCTCACACTTCACTAATTTCTTCTAAAATGTTGTTTTTTCTTTTCATTTTACTGTCTTAAGACCTCGCTCAACCAATTCACTTCCGCGACCCAAAATGGGCGTGTTTAACTCACAAGGGCTTCAGTCGCCAGCATGGGAACGGCCCCACCCTCTCCTCCCTTTTCGTCTCTGCTACTCTGCGACTCTAACTTTAATATGGCCACCACTGTCTGTCTCACCCCTCTCTCTCACTCGGCACTCGTCCATCGAGAAGAAGGTTGCTGGTCCGTTCCCTTACCACAACACTTCGCGGTAGTCTTTTTGATGTTATCTTTTCGACGTCGTTGCGTATCGAAGGCCCTTCTATAACGTAAGTATTCCAGCAAAAACATTCAGTTGCATAGAATTTCGCTACCTATTGATACAAGACATGAATCGTAAACGTAGAACATAGGTGTAAATAAGTTATGTTGTTATAAGATGCATATTGTTGAATAAATGGTGATGAGTAAATCATATACATTGATCGCTTGTGATATGGTGCTACTGGGTGAAATATGGTGTGATTCGGTGTGCCAGTAATTTGAACACGATGTAGTGAACATAAACAAGATAACACGAAAAAATTACAGTGGATTGTTGTGGAAGGGGATCAAAGGAAACCTTCTTCCCGATGTGACCGAGAGGAGTGAAACAGATAGTGCTTGTCACATTGAAATCAAAGTAACAGAAGAGGGGGGAGGGGTGGAGGGTGGAGCGGTTTCTATGCTGGGGATTGGAGTTCTTACCAGTCAGACACGCTAAATCTAGGTCCACGGAAGTCAACCGGTTGGAATAGTCTGATTTGATACCATTTTTTCAGTCTTCCATGAGGTCTGATATGGCATTTCAAAAGCCAGACGCATCTTTGGGCTATAATGGCAAGTCTCATCAGTAGCACATGCCTTACGGTTCAACCAAGCCCCTTCGTCTAGATGTATCGGCGTCGTGAATGTTACGTTGCACGCCAAATGAAAAGGTTACCTGACATAGCAGTAACACTCGAATGTTCGATGACTGGTAAAGCAAATATAGAAATATCCATCTATTTGACTGCCTTTTTTATACCTCGCTTGACGTTCTGTATAATCTAACAACATGTTTGAAGTCTTTCGTGGTTGGACCGAAATTCATGGGCTACTGATGAGGCTCGACATGAAAGCTGAAACGTGCGTTTAGCACTCGGAGAAAAATTTCAGACCTCACGAAAGCCTTAGAATAGCTCATCTGATTATGTTATTTCCTCATCCAAAAAAATTTTTGGTACTCGATTTGAAATCTATAAAAAATATTTTTTGCTCTGAAGCACTAACTCTTTAATGCCATTTGGGAAGAAATAGTCACTCAAGAAAGACAACACTTAGAAACATAGATTTCAACGGAGAATTTCACTTAGCTTTCCAAGGGCTGGGTCGCCGTGGCCGAGTGGGTTGTGATGCTCGCCATGACGTGAATGGGGTCAAACCCCACTCCCACCCCCATCTCCAACCCCACCTTCCCTCCTTCCTCCCTTCAGTACCCCCCGGCTGTCAACAACGAATGCACTATGTTGAATGCTAGAATTACTGAGATTCGCACAGTAAAAAAGACACTGAAAGCGGATTTCAAAGTGTTTAAGAGAAGTTGCCAAGAGCTAGAGTGGAAATAATGCCGCTAAGAGTCTTATTTCGAAAAGCCATTTCAAAAATTGGAGTATGAATCCCATAGTTAGGAAGAAGGGAATGAGAATCTTGACTCTGCTCAATGCACTCCGCTTACATCAACATGTGTGCGTTTTCGTCATGAAACATCGTTTCGTCGATTCTTTGAGTGAGTCCACTTTCGTTTCCTAAGTTCGTGGTATTAGTCATAACAAAACTTTTTTCTAACTTTGATCTTTCTTGAGTGGTCTTTCTAAGCTTAAGAGTGGGAAATGTAAGCCTAAGAGATTAGCTGCAGTAACCATGTAGCTTTGTTATGAATTGATTCGTGAACTTAATGCAAAAATTTTGATAATTCTCTGAGTTGGACCTAATAATTACATCGCTATTGCGTGCTGGAGGCGCATGTGGCTCAGTGATTAGAGGTGCCCTGCGATGCGCATTTAGTCGACGGTTCGTTCGCGCGCCCATTCTCAGCAACTCTTCCATCTTTCTGGGAGTCGACAGGCTGGTAGAAGACTTGTGTGGGAAATAGCAGCGCTGACTTGATACATCGGACCGCGAGTTATTGTAAAGGGGCACACATGAATTCAGTCATATCTAACAGTGCTTGGTGAAATCGAAAGCTTGGCGAATACCTCGATGACTGATCAGCAGTAAGAGCTTTTCCTTGATTTATTTTAATCGTCTGCTTCGCGTCTGAAGGATTACCTTCTTTTCTGAAAAAATCTTTCACTCATTGTAACATTTAGGTTTTCGGAGCGATGCCACACACCTGGAATTAATTCGGATATTGCAATCATTGGTTGATTCACTCTATGAATGTGTAAACGTCCATTTCTAG